TCTGGACTGTAACTCTTTCACTAGCTGTAGAGAAGAAAACCAATTATCTGCAGTGATGTTCCTATTACTGCTAAATAAAAGTTTTAATAGACGAATTACCTTTTGTGTGGGTTTGGTTAATTTTTTTTCTGAATTTGAAAGACCAATTGCATCCGAACCTTTTCCGGTATATATAGCCATAAGGCAAAATGAGTTTATCATCAGTTATCAACATTAGTTTTATGCCATATTTTCGTGTGCGTATTTGGTATCACATCCGAAACTTGCACCGGCCCCCTAACTCGATTAAAATCTCATCAATGCATGCTTTTTGCATAATATTTAAATATTTAAGAAATATTTTAAAGATGTCATTAATATGCCGCTGTGTTTTCCTTCAGTCTTTCTTTCCTAGATGTGGTATCATCAAACTTCAATAGTCCAGGCTGTAGAGGCCGCTCCCCGTTGGGAAAAGGTTTCTGATTCGGTTTCTTCGCGGATTCCGGTTCAAAAATGTCCCCTTTAAACAAATCTGAAGGGTGCCGGGCGAAATTTTTGGGCAGAAATTGTTTAAACAATTTTTTTTAAACAAATTCCAAAAATATTTTTTTTAATCTGGAAAACTGTTTTTTTAGGTTTTTTGGGCCATTTTAAACAAAAAAAGTCTCTTGTCATTTTTTCTCTAAAGTTGATAGTTTTCGAGTTATAAGCGATTTAAAGTCTGAAAAACGCGAAAATACGCATTTTTGAGGCTTGAAAACACATATGTAAATTATTATTTTTGAGGTTACCAAGTGTCTAAATTAAAGTTTAAACATTCAACTTCAAGATTGTGAAGAGTAATCGGGCTTATTTTAATTTAGACCGTTGTTTTTTAATTGTTAAGTATGCGCGTACACTCGATTTTTCAGCCCCGCGGCGCCGCGCGCTACCGTGCGCCTCTATCGTACTTATGCATAGTTTACATATACTTACAAATAATTATTATTTATTGAGTATATATTTATTTATATCAATTGAGTTATAATATAAATTTCGTCTAAAGTCTAATAATAGTTACATAAAATAATTGTACAAAAGATTGTTAAATAACACACTAATATCACTCAGTAAAAGTATCTTTGTTTTCACAAAAATCTAAATCACATCCACATAATGGTACACAGTTGACATGATTTTTCTTGCAGTTGCAAGCATTAGTTTTGCAAGTCTTTTTGCATTTGCACGGTTTCCCAACCCACCACTATCAGACATATAATATCCATATTGTGTAAAATCGAGAGTTTGATAGCGGGAATATATGGCATTTCGCCAAATATATGTTTTAGCGAAAGCTCTTAACAAGTGTTGGTAAAGTGCGTCAGAGGTACAAGGTATATTGGCTAGATTAAATTAAATTTTTCAGTCCACTGTCTTTTGTCGAAGAGCAGCATTTTGTATTGTTATGTAAAAATCTACTTTAGGTTTTGCACTAACTTAATATTGTTGATGTTATTACAAAAAATACAAACTAAATTTTCTTCGGTAAGTTTTCATTTAAGAAGAGGTACGGAAAAAGACATTTTAAATCCATTCACAATTTTTTTAATAACACATTAATAATATAATACCCTTTTAATGGGCATTAAACAATAGTCTTCCTAATGATCGTTTAAGTAATAACAAATCAAGTATGAGCGCGCGATTGTTAAACAGGTAAAAACTTGCATTTTTGCGATAGTATATTGTTTTTAAACACCGCGCAATTTAAAATTAAGTTTACTAATATTAATATTTACTGCATTGTATTATTTAAATAATAATTTAAAAATATTATTTACAATTGATATAAATAAATATATACTCAATAAATAATAATTATATTGTTCAAATTTGGAAGAAAAAAAAACTATATACGGTTATTACATTGCGATGATTGATTTATTTAATTAGCCCAATGACAATAATTAATACCTACATAAATAAATTATGGAAAAAACTATGTTAATAAACTTCAAGGATTTGTTCGGGTTTTTTTTGCGTAAGTGTATATGTAAACTATGCATAAGTACGATAGAAGCGCACTCTAGCGCGCCGCGCCGCGGCGGCTGAAAAATCGAGTGTACGCGCATATTTAACAATTAAAAAACAACGGTCTAAATTAAAATAAGCCCCGATTACTCTTCACAATCTTGAAGTTGAATGTTTAAACTTCAATTTAGACACTTGGTAACCTCAAAAATAATAATTTACATATGTGTTTTCAAGCCTCAAAAATGCGTATTTTCGCGTTTTTCAGACTTTAAATCGCTTATAACTCGAAAACTATCAACTTTAGAGAAAAATGACAAGAGACCTTTTTTGTTTAAAATGACCCAAAAACCTAAAAAAACGTTTTCCAGATTAAAAAAAATATTTTTTGAATTTGTTTAAAAAAAATTGTTTTAAACCATTTCTGTCCACAAATTTCGCCCAAGCACCTTCATATCTATTGTTTAATGGGGACATTTTTTGAACCGAATCCGCGAAGAAACCGAATCAGAAACATTTTCCCAACGAGGCGCGGCCTCACAGTCCGGACTACAAAAGCAAATTTATCCGAAACGACTAAATCGCTTTCCCCGCTCATAACAGTCCTAAAAATCTCTCTTCCGGTTCCATCTGGAGTAAACATGGCGTCAATATCTTCATCATTAGATTTATAGATCGTGGTATATATTAGTAGGACCATCAAAGCTCGTATTTTAGTACTATCCGTATCTTTCAAATCTGTTCGTGTCTCTACAGCCAACCTTGTTCGAATTTCTGCAATCTTTATATTTGTATACTGCACTATAGTATTTATCATAGCTTCAGAGATGAGAAGGTTCCATATATCTTCTGGAGTAGCTTCATCTCCTAGAGTACGAGCAGAACCTTTTAATTCTGGTAGGGTTATGACTATATTATGTTGTGGAGTTCGCACATTCTTTACAGGTTCATTTACCTCCCACTTTTCGCTCACAATAGTACTTTTTTTCAATTTCATCCTCATTCTCTTGGTCTAATTCTTCATCATTATTTTCATCATTTAAAAAGGATTGTTCATTATCATCACTTTCACGTGAAGGTCGATATTCATGTTCTTCTTCGATATCATATCCATCTTATATATCAGACAAGTCAGATTCTTCCTCATTATACCATCTTAAAACAGTATTTCCAAAATTATTGTCTAATGGATTAACTTTTTTTGATGTACTAGAAACCAAATCCATCTAAAAATAATAGGTTTTACACAAAAATCTTTAATTTTATAACAATTACAAAACTTAACGGTGATGTGGAGTCACTGAGACTCTGATTTCTAATTTGAACGTGTTCACAGTACCCTAGCTGAATACCCTCTGAATACCAATAACTACAAATAGTGACTTGAACGTACATGAGCGCGCGCAAGATTCAAGGTTACCGGAAAAAAGTTACAACTTCTAAAGTACTAAGAGTCCTGTGTGACTCCAGCTCATCGGTTACGGGTTAAAATAACGTCTACAGAAAAATACTTACGAAACGAATTGGTTTGGTGACTCTGCCTACTAGCAATGCTATATCGTTTAAAATATGTTTATCTCATTTTCTACCGTTGGAAGTCCATACCCACGTTAAATTCTTTCCCATACTATCTAGTATATGAATAATGTCATATTAGATAAACTACATTCATTTTAAAAATTCCCAACTGTCAACAAACGCACGTGAAAGCCAGACAGGGCCGTACTGAGGTGTATCATATGATTTTTAAAAATATTTACTTTTGAAACTATTATTGTAAGAATTTCTTGAAATTTAATCATTGTGAGCAAAATTTAATGTTCCATTGAAGAAAAATGTGTTAAAATAAAATATTCATTAACTGAGAGATAAGTACATAACAAAGTGAACATTTTGAATAAAGTAGCATTGTCATAAGTTTATCAAAGCATAAAACATACCATTTAAATTACTCAGAGTCTGAGGAGCTACATGTGTTGCTGTCTTCTTCTGGATTTATTATTATGGGTTCGATATGGTTCTCTATTATATTGTTTAACTTCCACATTTTGGACCCGACTTTTTGTTGAACGTGTTGCACACATTTCTGCCACGTATTTGGACTAATATTATTTATTGCACCATAAAAAATATTTTTCGTATCTGCAAATTTAAAAGGAGTGTTTTTGGTTGCTACATAATTTTTTACTTCTGCCCAGATGAGCTCAATCGGATTGAGCTCACAATGGTATGGGGGCAGCCTTAACACTACTTTGTTTTGACTTTTTGTCATCTCATCAATGATATATTTATTATATTGTCCTTTATGTTCCTTAACGATAGCCAGCAGTTGCACTTTTAACATGGAGTCCTCAAACCCTATATTTTTTTGATTTCAGCCACGCTTGGCTGTCAGCTTTTCTCAGAGTTTTTTCACCAAGTCAATATATTTCGAGTTATTTGCGAGTGAATATGTTCATTTTTCAACAACAAAAAAACAAGGTTTTTAGACGATTTTTGCAAATAACTCAAAAATAAGTATTTTATCGAAAAAATATTCTTATATTACTAAAAAGGAAATCAAACTTTTCGAAACATCAATAAATTAGATTATTGGTTTCTCTTACCTTTATTAAAATAATTATCGCAAGCTATTTTTTTACTTTTGGTTAACAAATAATTTGTTTTTGGATACTAAAAGTTCACTACACACTATAAAACTTAATACTAAACACTTAAACTAAACTCTAAAAAATAACACGACCAGTAAATAACTTAACAATAACTATAACATATAATACACAATATATTAACTTAAAAATCAACACACTACAATTTGAATTTAAACAGACTGACAAGTTTGGACCTGTAAAATGAGAATAAGTCTGGCTTAAGGCAATAAATTTTATTTAATAGCCTCTTGACGAATAAGAGGGCGAATATCAACACGTGCGTTTGTTTACAGTTGGGAATTTGTGAACGAATGTACTTTAGATGGTTTATAAATACTAATTTATACTTGTTTGTTTTAGGAATCTTTGAAGAGGTTGAAGGTCCAAACAAATTAAAAACTTGTGTTTTGGAATGCTGTCTAAAAGATAACTGTAATGTTGCATTTATGCATAATGATAAGTGTTTCCATATTGCTTGCAAGAATGATGAGGTTTGTTTACCAACAACCACTACAAATTTGAACAAGTCTGATCGACTTTTCTTAGTTTTGGTAAAGCCTGTAGATGATCAGTCGTGGGACGATGTTTTACGACAACAAGGTAATTTGCAAAATATCTTTGTAATATATCCAATCTTAAATTTTTTGTAATTAAAGATTTCTCGAGGAACCAAGAAGACAAGGACATCTTTAATATTTTAAATGACAGAAAAAGATTCGAGGACGTTTTCAGAGATCTGCTGAAGGAAGAGTCTTACGAACGAGGGATGTATTGTGACATGGGAATCGAAAATATTTGCTTGGCCAATGAAGAATGTGTACCAGCTCATGCCAAAACTAACTCAGGTAATATTTAAGAATTAAGTTTGATATCACAATATTTGAATGACTCAAAACCATTAACGGTTAGTATTTTATCGATCTTATCTTCCTTGTTAAATCGAAACGTTGTATTACTTTTTCTCTATAGTCACGCGAGCGCCACAGAAGAAGCACCACGAGATGGCGTCACGAAATAGCGGTCTTTAAATCCATTCACTACTCTCCATAAATTCGTTTCTAGGCATCATATATTTAATCTAAGCAGATTTAAATTCAGAAACAAACTTTAGTTGTTGTTACTTAGTGAAAATTTCTTCTAATAATTTAATTTTATCGGACTTATTTATATTGACAATTCAGACATATATTATACATTTTAAAGTAGATATTTTCGGACAAATATTCTTAAGTTAAAAGTTAATTTCATGTAATCGAATGAACTATGTATCTTACAATAAAATAGTCCCAGGAAAGCAACTAAGCAATATTGGCAATATCATTTTAAAGTCGTCTACTTTAAAATGTATAATATTATGTCTGAATTGTCAATATAAATGAGTATTTATTTGATAAAACTAAAGTATTAGAAGAATTCTTCACTGAGTAACAAAAAACAAAATTTGTTTATTATTTTTTGTATTTTGAGAACGATTTCCGAAGTGGAAATTGAAACGTCAATAAACTTATTTTAAACTTCAATTGTGGCTTATTCCCATTCAAATAGTAATTACTTATAAGATGCCACAAGAAAATAGCTTCAGAACAATTATAATGGTTGTAAAAAATAAAAAAATTAAAAGTTGTACTCCGGGAATGGAAGCATAACTTTCTTATCGTCTTAAGAAGGAGTCATGGTTTATAACTTAATTTATTTTAAAATGAAAAAGACAGCAAATATTTGAAAGTATTTTACGGATTAATTTATTTTATTCGATTCGATTCGATTTTACTTAATTTTATTTAATTCTATTTTATTTTATTAATTTTATATATTTTATATATTTTATTTCACCATCATCATCATCCAGCCTTCATTTATCACGTCCACTGTTAGACATAGGAGGACAAACTCCTTCATTCTTTGCGATATTGTGCTATATGATGCCAATTTTTCGTGATACGCCTGATATCATTAGCCCAACGTGTAGGTGGTCTTCCTCTACTACAGAAGCTGTTCATGGTGAATAAATTATTCTGGCGTACGAATCCTAGTAGTGCTTTTCCTCTGTCACTTCTTACTGGGGAACCGAATTTTCCCAAGGATGTTTCTAGCTCTGCTTCTTTTACACCTATTTTGCATTGAAATCGCCACATAAAATTGTAAATTGAGTACGAGAATCTTAAGCGCAGTAGATATATTGTCATAAAATATTTCGATTTCTTCGTCTGTATGGTCTGTTGTGGAGCGTATACTTGGATAATTTTGAGTTGATATCTACTGTTCAACTTCAGAATAAGATATTCCACTCTAGATAATATACTTTGGATGTTTATTATCTTGTTTGCGTTATTTTTATTGAAAAAGAAACCAATGCCTCCAACTGATGTAGTTTCAGGGCCAGTCTGATAGAATATATGCCCTGATTTCAGTGTTTTTAAAGTTTCACCTCTCTCTCTCTCTAACTTCGCTGATACCTATCCCATTTAATTTTATTTATTTCAGTTTCCATTTCTCTGAACCTCTCGTCGGACAGTAGACTTCTGGCATTGTATGCCCCCCTCCCCCAAAATCCTTGGGACAGACTGATAAATCAGTGTGAGATTTTGGACGCATTCTACTCACCTGGGGTAAATCTGTAATTGTTTTAAAATATGACATCGCGGTTTTATGGGGTACATTGGCATTAAAACACCACGACTGCCAGACGGGTTGGTGAGTGTTCGCAGTATCACAGCCGGTTAAATCAACTTGATTGCCGCCTTCGACTTTGTGGTACCGCACCTGTCAGGGATTGTATTCCTCAGCCACGGACCACTCATGACACAGCTGCTGACCTGTGTCATGTCCTCAGTTGATCCACGGGTATTTATTTAGCTCAGCCTTATTCGTACCTGTCCTGCATATCTACAGGAACTTCCCTATCGGCCATTGGGAAGCGCCGTGTCGGGGTTAAGCACTCCCTCGTCGTCTGTCTTGTGCAGAGTACTGAAGGACCCCTACTAAGTTCAGAGTCCCCCCTTTACGCATGCTGAGACCAACACGGTTTATTTTATAAAAAATATATTAAAATCAAAATTTCCCAAATCGATCCGGTAGTTGTTATAAAAAAAGTTCAAAAAAATTTATTATAAAAATAAAATGACGTTTTCATAACAAATAAGTCACTTTCGGAGAATCGCTCTACTTTGTCGTGAAATCGTCGTATGAAATCGATCTACGTGAAAAAACCAGCGTAGGAAACCTTTTTATATGTAAACTAAAATAAATAAATCTTACCTTAAAATTACAGCAATCAAATTTTTGCAATTTTGTTAAAAATAATCGTATTATTAATTATAAATGTAATTAATATGTATTAATATATATATATATATATATATATATATATATATATATATATATATATATATATAATGAATTTTATTAGTATAGTAATATGTATTAATTAAACGTACCGTTTCAAACACAAAATATGATTTACTCAATAGGTTGGTAGTTCAGTTTTCTTTCCTAGGTAGCTCTACGAGTTTGAATCTAAACTAACATACAGCTTTAAATTATTTTACTTCTTAACTAAAAATTATAGTAATCAATATTATTAATTATATTAGTATGTAATTAATATTATTGTTATTATTAATACTATATAAACGATATAGTCCGATATAATACGATAAAGTCAGTTGGTAGTTCAGATTTCTTTCCTAGATGACACTAGGAGTTATCCTACCGGACAAATAGTGTGAGTTGTCGTCATAGCCTTTTATATAAACAGTTAAAACTCCTTTTATATGGAACTAAATTTGTTGGTGTTTGGCAGTAACATAAATATCTTTTAGGTATCTGCCAGTGTCTCGACGGCTTCATCCGAGGTCCGAAGGGCGACTGCCTCCTTATGTTACCAGAAGAAGCATCCATTCGAGGCCGTCCTAGTCTTTTGACTGATCGTATTCTGGAAGTAGAAGCAACTACCAACAAGTCTTTGCCGGTTACACGGAAAGTACTTATAGTTCAAGCAGCGTCGAAAGAAGTTAGGCTGCCCGTCGATGAAGTAACTTTAGATGCAACAGTTGTATCGGATAAAGAAGACAAGTACCAATACGAATGGACATCGTTGCAACAGCCAGACGGTAGTACGGCTGTTGTTAAGCATCAAAACGAGGGTCAACTGCGTTTAGAGAAGTTGACTGAAGGCGTGTACTCTTTTAAAGTAAGTGCATGTTTATTTTATTGTATAAAATCTGATGCAAATCTTTTGGAAAAATAGATTAGTTATCATTTTTTTCACCATGAAATAAAATTTCAATATAAGTTATTATTACTCCGTCCTTTAAATACAATTGAATAACTTGATGTATTTTAAATAGCTTAACACTGTTGAATTTTTTTTTTGGTGAGAACTATTTTGAGATCATCATCTGTGAATCCGTGGGATCTTCTTTTTTCCATGAATTGAGGACAATCAAGCAGGATATGTTTGACAGTCAGTGGGTTAGAGCAGCTGGAGCAGATGGGTACTGGTTCTTTTGTTATTAGGTATTTATGTATTACGGCAGTATGGTCAATTCTTAGACGCTTAATAATAACTTAGTTTCTTCTGTTTGAAGGAGTCCAGGATAGCATTTATTTTTGGGCAAATTACATTTAATTTTGTACCTAATTTTTTTCAATGATTTTGCTATGTATTACTACAGTGAATTTCAACCAGGTTCTTTAGATCGGTGTACGGATGTGTTTTCGATTTTGCAGTATGGTTTAAGTTCATTCGACTTGTGTTTGCCAGTTGATCTGCTTTTTCATTTCCGTAGATACCTGTATATGAAGGCACCCAAATAAAAGCCGCTTCCTTTCGTAATGACAGTAATGCATTTAATGGGTTTGTTACGATAATGCACTTCATCCTGCTACTCTTTTCGAAGAAGATTAGGGCTTCCAAAATTGCTGTAGCCTCGCCTGTTACATTTATAGTATACTGCAGTTTGTTGGTATCGATATGCTATAAGAAATTTCTTTACATTAGTAGGCAGTAGCGTGACCATTGGGAGTTTTAGAGGCATCGGTAAACGATTTGCAAATAGTTAGGATAGTGGTCTAGAATTTCCATGAATAGAGATTTACTTTTTGTGGATCAAACCTTTTTGTTTGTACCCGAGGATTCGTTACTGTACTGCCCAAGAAAAGTTTCAGCTGGTAGGCAGGAGATATGCCCTTTCCTACTCGGATCTGCCTCTCCCGCACCAAGCATGGTACCCATTTAAAGTCCTGGACTGTCAGGGGAAAATTTACTTATATTCACGAGAATTTCCCCTGGCAAAAACGAATTCAGTTTTAAATTTTAGTGTTACTTTAGGTTACGCCGTAGTGCTACGATTCTTATAGAATTCTAGCTGAGCAACTGCAGGCTTCCACCCGTCTCCATTTCTAACACAGCTTCAAAAGTCGACAATATATTTATTGTATATTTCTGCATTTTCTTCTTCATATTCTATTTTTGCAGGCTGTAGCCAAATTGCGGCTTATATTCGTAACTGTGTTCTTAGGTTCATAGTCGGGATCCAAAATGGTATTGTACACTGAAATTACAGGGATTTCGTGCGTCTTGAATCTCTTGATCAGGATAGTTTTCGGGGGTGCTAAAGATACTTAAAACTTTCAAACTTTTATTATGTGACTTTAAGATCAAATATGGGTTTTCTCTCTCCTTAAACATTACCTCCAAACCCCGAGGTACCTCAGGTGATGTGTTCAGTAGTATTCCATCACTGTTGAACTGTATCTTTTTATTTTTTAACTGGAGTTGGAGGGAATGCATATGTGAGTTTCCTTGTTTAAGCCACTATTAATAGATATGACTGCTTCCTTTTTCTAATTTATACATCTTAACATATATCTTACAGATACTTAGTGATTATGCATATTGCGTTTCCTCCAGGGATCGGATGATCGGATTGCTCTTTTTACGCTGACTACTCGATTGTATCAGTCTATCATGTTGGGGATCGCCCTCGACTTCTTCCCTCCGGTTTTCCTTGGACTACTAGTGTCACCATATTATTGCCACGTGCTATACATCCAAAGGACGTTAATATTTTTGAATGTGGAACTGGAGAGACATTGTGGATTGTTAATCTCCACAAGAACGTATATGAATTGATTTTTCTGGCTGTCCAAGAAATTCAAAGCATTCTTCTCCAACTCCACATCTCGAATGCATCAATTCTTTTCATTTCTTCTACTCGGATGATCCACGTTTCAGAGGCGTATTGGGAAAACCAGTGTTTGTACAAGATTGATCTTAGTGTTTTTTGCATATGTGTGTATTTTTCCATATTTTAGAGAGGTTGGACATATTGGTTCTACCCATCTCCTTATCCCATCTGCTATGACTGCTTATTGTCTACAAAAAGTAGGTGTACGTTTGTGTTTTATTCACATAATTTCCCTGAAATGCCCTTGATCAAATCAATAATTTCTGAATCAATAGTTGATATATTTCTAGAGAGACCATAGTGTTAAATGCCAAGGTTCAGCACTTGTAGTCTTTGATTTGCCGGGATTGTATTGGCACACCTTTAGTTTGAGTTAGGGGCAGCTGACACTACACCATTATGAAATACAGTACGTAGGCTATGGATATAAAAAGGTTTATTTGTGACAGTTTTAAAATTCTTGTTCTGCTGCTAGCAAAACCTGACTTTATTGTTTATCATAGGAATTCTTATTCCAATGTGTTCCCAGAAATTATACTGTATTTTTAGTAGTCAACCATATATGTTTATTTTTCTTATCTTACTTCAATTTAAATTCACGTCACTGTAATTTCACTGATATTCTTACCTGTTATTTTTCTTTGTGTGTTTATGACTCCTTGTTCTTATTGTCTTTCTTCACGCAACAGAAGAAATAAATAGAATAACCAGGATTTCTTTTTTAGGACAGTACCTCTTTTTCTCATATTAAATATTTTGTATTTTTGAGTATTTTTAATATATTTTTTTCAGGTTGCAGCTTCAACTCCATCTGCCTATGGTGAAACTTTCGTCAACGTAACAGTGTTACCAGCCAAGAGGATTAATCAGCCCCCTATTATTGTGATAACCCCTGCTAATCAAACTATTAAACAGCCAAACTCGGCTGCCGTTTTAGATGCTTCATCTTCAAGAGACGACGATGGCATTGCTTCTTGGCATTGGGAATTGCAACAAGGACCACTAGGTATTTTTTAATTAAACATAAATCACAGACTGTTTTATTTAAATTGCTTTCGTATATAGTCAATATAATGTTATTCTTCTATTAGGATATGAACCTCAGTTGAAAGACGCTCCTACATTGCAATTGAATGACCTAACCAAACCTGGAAATTACACATTTAAGCTGACAGTGATAGACACAGATAAAGCGAGTAGCAGTCAGACAGCTAACATTACTGTATTAGCAGGTACCGACTACCCTCCAGAAGCAAATGCAGGTAAGGTAATCAAATATAACACTTTTGATATTTAAATAGTACGTATATATATATATATATATATATATATATATATATATATATATACATATATATATATATATATATATACATATATATATATATATATATATACATATATATATAATATACATATATATATATATATGTACATATATATATATATATATATATATATATATATATATATATATATATATATATAATATATATATATATATATATATTACTTTAGATTTCATCATCGAACACTTCGTTGATATATTCTGCCCATCTTTATACTTTCTCGTTATAATTTTCTTGCAAATTCATTTTTACAATTGGTTTGCGTATTCTTGAAGATTACCTATGTAGGCCTAACTTTGGTATAAGGAATAATATCACTTGTTATAGATGAAGAGCCTGGAATTCCATCTCTCATTTGTTACAGACAATGTATTTTTATTGGAAAGTGGATTTATTTTATTTTTAATTAGTTTATTAGGTAAATGTGCTTGAAGTTTTGTCTCTACTAACGGTAAGTTGTGGACAAAAATGGTTCCCGTGCTGTATTTTGATCTATTACCCTTAATTGATTAATGTGCCTTCTTAAAATTAGCATATTATTTAATTCATCCAAATAATGTAAAAGGCCAATATTTTTATAACTCTACCAAACTTCCATTTTTCATTAAAATAATCTCTAGCAGAAACTCTGCTACCTATTTCAATATCTCTGGTTTATTTATGATTGTAATTCTTATTTACAGTAACTGTCCAGTCTTTACATCATCTCTTTCCTAAACGTTATAAATTAAGGACTCTTCCTGTCAAAGAATATGGGACCTTCTTATATTGTAGCAGTAATTTGCAAAGTTTATGTTCTCTATCCTTTCCTTCTGAGCTCATACATCTTAAAGATTTTCTTTTTAAATCTGCACGTAACGTTCTCCCTAATCGTTAATAACTGGATGAAAAGCAGCTGTATATTTATGAATGATTTCATTCTGTTTCATAAAATTCCTAAACTCTGTAGAAGTAAATTGGATCAATATACTTTTCAATAAGATAATAATCAAGAATAATCAATACTTAAGTGCAATACTTTATATTTTTATTTTTGTGTGTTGCTTTTAGGTGAAGATAAAATCATTTACCTACCCCACAACTCTATAACACTAAATGGCAGCTTGAGCTTAGACGATCACGCCATAACTACGTGGGAATGGACAAAATCAGCTGACGATGCTCAAAAAGCTGTCGATATGCAAGACACGAGAACGCCTATTTTAAAACTTTCGAATCTAGAAGAGGGTATTTATACGTTTATCCTTAAAGTAACAGACAGTGCAGGACAATCTAGTACGGCGCAGGTAAGATTATCGTCAGAAATTGTATTGTATAATAAAATGTGCGCATTATTATCGACAATATGTGCGCCTCTTCCATTTGCGGATGAAGCTCTGTTTGCATATATTAGCTCTAGAATTACCACAGTTATTAAAGTAAATGTGGGTACGATCTAATGAATTACAACTGATTTAATGTAGCCTTTCACGGTTAAGAAAAAAATTCAATACGATTCCTTTAAAAATGAGCCGTTCCTGATACGCTATAGTAGATGAAGCGTTTAAAATTGAAATGATTTGCATACTCTCGATTTTACTACATACTTATATACATACAAAAACTGAATTTAGTACTTCAAATTTATAAAAGTCGCAATATCCTCCGTTCTATTTTAATTTAGGGTACCTCTTTGCATAGAATATAAAAATGAAGTTGGTTAATTTGTGAATTGTTTATTTAATTCAGTAATTTGTTCAAACAAGTATCAAACTCTACAAAGAAGAACAATAAGGATGATAGAAATCGAAGACCAAGCCAGCCTCAATGATACAGATGACATTCCACATAGAAATCGTTAATAAAAGAAAGCCAAGATCGAAACTCACAAGAAAAAACCACAACTAAAAAAATGAGTGGTGTACAGGCTAACCATGTACACCACGTAACCCAGGTATCGAATATTACTATATTCATCCTAGAAAAGATAACATAATATGCATAATTTTGACATTTTGATGAAATCACTTATTACACAAAGGTCAAACACATAACAATGTTCTTGAAACTTTTACGAACCATTTTTACTAAAAGCAACAAAAATCTGAATGGTTGTACACCAGCGATTAAATAGTCCGTAAGTGGCTATAGTATAAACTTTTAGATGATCACTTTTTGTTTACATAAAACTATGTTAAATTTATGCTTTTGATTTGATGAGCCATTAGTACATGCCATTCCATTTTATAAAAAGGTTAACATAATAAAAAACGGGTGTGGCAGTCTAGTGGGACTGCCGATAGAAATTATACTTCTATACATGTGTTCGCCGTTACAAATTTATATGGGAGTCAATCTGCACAATCATTACATATTTAATGCTATAGGTAAGAAAGAGCAGAAAGAGAAAAATAATTAGGTATATAGGTATATGGTGCATCGTTTGCTGTACTTATATAAACATTTGACCTGTAATAGGAGTATAGTAAATGAAGGATTGTATCAATATTTTAATGAAAATATATATTTTTATTTTCATATATGTATAAAAGGAGTCGAATGTAAAAAAATTTTTTACACATACTCTGCAGTAAAATTCATTGTTTATTTTGATATTAATATAAAAATTACAATACAATACACTGCAACATAATTCAATATAATAATACAATATAAATTAAAATGCAATATTCATAAGTATTTAAAACTGCCGATATACATAACTTACTTTACAAAGATAAAAATAAAAAACCAACAACTCGAATTTTGTTGTAAATTTTCATTTTATTTTAAAATTTAGCATTTTTGCGTATATTACATGTATTCAATAAGATGAACGTCAGGTTTTTAAATATTTCAAAAATAAAAAAGGAAATTCATATTGGGATTCGAACTCACATACACCAGCGTATGAACCAAACACGTAAAAGATTTGCCAATTGGACATGATACTAACGGATTTCTAAATTCACAGTTCTCGGTCATACAGAGATTATTTTGAAATAGAAAATCCTAAAGTAATTATGAACATTTAATAAATAATACAAAACATATCACATAAATAATAATATTAATATTTATTATATTATATATATATATATATATATATATATATATATATATATATATACAGTGGAACTTGGTTATAGCGTCATTGAAGGGTCCAATAAAAAAAATGACGCTATATCAGAGTGACGTTAAAAAAAGAGGTTGAGAAAAATAAAATTTTAATGAGGGAAAATATTATTACAGCATTAGTGGGTATAGTAGATATATTATTTGTTAATTACTCTGGGCCTAAACATGATAATTTAACATAGTTTACGATATACCGAAAATATAACATTTACTTAAGTCAAATTTAAAAAAAAACAAGAATCATTTTAGGATAAAAAACAATTAAAAAAACAAAACATATTATGTATGTATATGAAACTTACATTGTGTAAAAAAGTTCTATTGCTGAAAAAAGTCCGTTATTTTCTTTTGCACAACCCTTTCCGAAAAATAAAGTTTTTCTGTTGTTTCCTTAATAAGCTGAGCTGCTTCTTTGGTATTTGTGGATGCCTCCCTGAACTGGTAAAACCTGGATATGGTCTCAGCAGCTCTCATTGCTTCTTGGATTGTAGGACAAGCAACGATGTCTTCTTCTTCTTCAGCTGCATCGACATCCATTTCCACGTTTTGCACCAGTTCAACAATTTCTTTATCACTTAGGACTTGAAATGTTTCCACCTCATCGTCTGCTGAAATGTAGGAGTCAAGATCAGTTCCGAACGCTCCCTGATTCACATTAAATTTTTGTATCCACTCTAACAAAGGCGTTTCGTCATCTTTGTCAACGTCCTCAACATTGAGAGAAGCTACAGTCAATTTTGCTTGACGAAAACACTTCTGAATTGTCACTGACGTAACCGCACTCCACGCATTGTCTAAAAACTGAACAGCATCCAGGATGGTAATGTTCACAGGTTCTCCATTATCCATACAAAAAATCATTCTTTTTAAAAGCTGTTTTCGATAATGGCACTTTAAACTTCTTATGACTCCCTGGTCCATAGGCTGCAAGACACTCGTGCAGTTGGCTGGTAAGAACACTAGATTTATATTGGTCAAATTAAGTTTGGGATGGGCTGCACAGTTGTCAACTAGGAGAAGAATTTTTCTTTTTTTGAAAGAGAGTTCCTTGTCCCACTTTCTCAATTCATCTTCAAAAATAGCAGAAGTCATCCATGCTTTTTTATTGGCTGTGTAGTTTACAGGTAGCGTTTTAACGTTTTTGAAACATCTAGGATGTAAACTTTTCCCAATAACCAAAAGCTTTCTTTTCTCTGTACCTGTCTAATTTGCACAAACAAAAGCCGTCACTCTTTGCTTGGAAAGTTTTCCACCGATACATTTTTGATTTTTGAAATTTAAAGTTTTGTCTGGCGTTAATTTATAAAAGACACCTGTCTCGTCACCATTAAAGATATCTTCATCTTTGTATGGTTGCCTTTGTTGTGGCCATGTGTTTTGTAACCAGTCACTTGTTACGTTCTCGTCCACACATTTTGCCTCTCCAACAATTTTCGAGAAGGAAATTGAGTACCTGGCTTTAAACCGATCTAACCAGCCGTTAGAGCATGTTAAATCTTCACCAAACAATTTTCCGAACTCTGTAGATTTCTCCTTTAAAAGTGGCCCGGACACAAGGATATCAGAACTGCGACACTGCTTGAACCATTTGAGTAGAGCTGAATCTACATCACCACGAATGCACTTCCTAATCTTTTTAACATTGTTTCCGTCCTCTTTAAACGCTTTTAAAATTTTGTCCTTCTTTTTTATGATTGAGCCGACAGTCGAATTAACAAGTCCAAATCGCCGGCATACATCAGCAATTTTTCGACCACTTTCAAATGCTCTTATAACACGCACTTTTTCTTTAATAGGCAAAACCTTCCTTTTAGTGCTACAACTTGCCATATAAGCTAATTACCAAATTAAAATAAAAAAAAAACAAAACGATCCGAACACAATTTCACGGGAAATTTCTTAAACCCACTGTTCCGAAACAGAAAATTTGACTATTAGGAGTGTTAGGACGGCACGGATAAATGCGAAATTATAGATTGTCAGGGTAAGATAACTGTACACAGAAGGGATAATGGACCTTTCTTACATTCTTGGAAGGAACAAATGCCGCAAAGCCAGAAACGCATTGCACTTTATTCTTCATAAAATAAAAAAAAGGTAACCTACTATAAAATTTTATGACGCTATAACCGAGGGTTAGTTTATTTTTAGCCGATAAAACCGGGTTTTTAATAACGTTATGGAATAGTTTTTGACCGGACCTATTAAAAATTGACGTTATAACCGAGATGACGTAACTACCGAGGCCGTAATAAGCGAGTTCCACTATATATATATATATATATATATATATATATATATAATATATATATATATATTATATAATATTAAATATATATACAACAGGAACATTTTTATTCTCGAGAGAGAAAGAGAAAGAAAATATATCTTCTGTCTCTCTCTTACTCATATCTTACATATGTAATGGTTTCACATATTCACTCCCGTACAAATTTCCAACGTCGAGCGCGCGTATAGAAGTATAACTTCAAAAAGACCTACTCACAATATGTTTGCTGTACTTATTTTAATTTTGAAGACGGTTTCGAGGTTTACAATTCACATCTCATCTTTGAATCAAAGGTACATGTAACTAACATATACCGGTACAAAGGTTGTTACGATAACCCATCCTAATTTTACGTTGCTCAGTATTGAATGAAGCCAGAGGTAATCAGGAAGTTCTTGAGGAAATAGGAAGTCGGATGGTAAATTACATGTCATGTACATATGACTTGGGATTGAAGTTTAAATTGTAGTACTCAAAGCAGGTCGTCTAAATACAATAAACATATTGTGAGCATATTATTGGACTTTCTAACTGTACAAATTTATCTGGACAAGTGAATTACTATCTACGATATCCTATTTTGTAGGTACATGTCTTTGTCAAACCGCCTACCAACAAACCCCCAACGGCAAATGCAGGCCAGAACATCACAATCAGTTTACCTCAAACTTGGGCTCTTCTAGACGCCTCCAATAGCACAGACGATAATAAAATAATGGAGTTCAAGTGGGAGTTGCTGGAAGGACCGTCTTCAGTTACATTTGAAAATGCCAATTCTAGCAAAACTAACGTTACAGGACTTACGAAGGGGACGTACACGTTTAAAGTTAGTGTAACGGATGATAACAAGAATGTTGCTAGCGATAAGGTATACGTCATCGTTAATCAAAGTAAGTTTTTTTATATAATCGTATGGGTTTATTATTTAACTTTAACATATGTACATTTTTTTATGAATCTGAACACAAACGAGAAGGTTATCAACTCAACGTTTATTTAAGATGTTTTATCATTGATATCATTCAATGTATCAACCTCACTTTTTTAATTCTTGAAGTAATTATAACACAGCTCAACAAAAAAAATTGTCTTGCTGCCGAAAAAAAATCAACTGATTTTGGTTAATTCATCTGTGCTGATTCCAAAAGTACAAACCTTTTCTTTGTATCAGCTCTAGTTTTCGAGATATAACATACTCATCAAATGCTTAAATATTCTTACATTTCTGTATATTCCACCACTATAACTGCAATATGTTTATAAACCAACTTAACAAATTCAACAAATTCTAATACAAATTCATACTAATGACTTCTAATTAAAGTGTACTTTTTGGAAATGCCCATAACTTGAAATTAGCGCTAATTGCTTTTTAACTATTGTCCAATAAGTAAATAGTATTTTCTCTGAAACGGCCTTAATAAATTCCCATAAAGTCTACTGCATTCTATTATAAAATTTAGTTTGAACTTGGGTTTCGTTGTAAGAGTTTGTTTTTGACAACTGAAAATCATGGCTTCTACAAGCAGGCATTGTTGTGTGAATAGCCCGGACGTTTTCTGCTACATATGTGGGGAGTACATTGTAAAGGAAAGTAGAAAACCAGTTTGTGATTTTATAAAAAGGGCATATCAAGCCTATTTTGATGTTCATTTAGGAGATCAAGATAAATCCTGGGCTCCACATGTAGTGTGCAAAACTGGTCTGGAAAATCCACAAGGAATCTACGTTCCTGTAGTTGGCTGTATACCATATATTAAAAAATTTATTAAAAATCCTTTGTAAAAGGTATATATTAAGAACCCAAACGGGCTAAGTTAAAAAGACAAAACGTTTTCGGAATCCATATTCCATCATCAGTGTCTAAGAGTACATGAATGTAGCCACTAAATATATGGGTAAAAACCCGTTAACAAATAATTACATTTAGTTTACAAATTTTCCTATAATGGTTTAGGATGTTAAAGTTACCGTTGGATTAGGTAACATGGCGACATATGACTCCACGTTGAAGTTGCTAGTCTTGAGACAGTGTGTCTACGAATACTGTAGTCCCAGTTCAGAGACTGTAGTCTCAGTTGCTCCCATACAGTTTTCGTAGACACACTGTCTCAAGACTAGCAACTTCAACGTAGAGTCATATGTCGCCATGTTACCTAATCCAACGGTAACTTTAACATCCTAAACCATTATAGGAAAATTTGTAAACTAAATGTAATTAATTATTTGTTAACGGGATTTTACCCATATATTTAGTGGCTACATTCATGTACTCTTAGACGCTGATGGAATATGGATTCCGAAAACGTTTTGTCTTTTTAACTTAGCCCGTTTGAGTTCTTAATATATACCTTTTACAAAGGATTTTTAATAAATTTTTTGGTCTTGAAAACTTGGACAGTGGACGAAAGGACAAAGAAAATGTTTAAGTTTGGTGTACCAATGGTATGGAGAGAACCAAAAAATCATTTTGAGGATTGCTATTTCTGTCTTGTGAATATAAAGGGCATGAATCGTAACAATCGACATACGTGGACAAGTCCTAACCTGGATTCAGCAATAAGACCAATCCCACATCAGCTTGAACACATACCCATTCCAATACTTAGCTGTCTACCTACGTTACCAGAGGATAATGTCGAAACGTTATCTGACGAACTATAGACTAATAGATTTGAGGAAGACAGTGATTTTGAAGAGGAGTCAATACGTCCTGAGCTCGTTACTCAAGAAGAGCTAAGTGATCTTATCAGAAATTTGAACCTTCCAAAGGATTCTTCCGAGTTGCTTGCCTCCAGAATAAAGCAAAAGAATCTTCTTCACCCAGACATCAAAATTACGTACTGCCGTAATAGAGAAAAAGATCTTTTGCTTTTTTTTCTCAGCAAAATAATATGGTTTTTTGTAATAATATTAAAGGACTGTTAGACAAAATGGGTGTATCGGAATATACACCAGATCACTGGCGTCTTTTTATCGACAGTTCCAAACGAAGTTTAAAGGGTCCTTTTACATAATGGCAACAAATATGGAAGTATACCAATTAGGCATTCTATAAAAATGAAAGAAAAATATAAAACAATTTCGCTGGTGCTAAAAAACAAAGTATGACCAACATCAGTGGGCGATTTGTGTTGATTTTAAGATGGTGAACTTTCTCCTGGGACAACAAGGTGGCTATACAAAATATCCTTGTTTCCTGTGTCTTTGGGATAGCAGGGCTAAGGACCAACACTGAAGTAGAAGAAAATGACATCCCAGAGATGCTTTAGTTGAAGGAGAAGCTAATGTAGTTAACGAAGCAATGGTCGACCGAGAGAAAATAATATTAGCTCCGTTATTAAACTAGGGCTGATGAAACATCTTGTAAAGGCACTAGACCAGAATCGTCATTGTTTTGAATACTTGTCCAGCAAATTCCCTGCACTTAGTAAAGAACAATTGAAATACGGAATATTTGATGGGCCTCAGATACGACAGTTTATAAAAGATTCGCATTTTACAGAATCCATGACTGAAATTGAATGTAATGCATGGTGCTCTTTTGAGAAAGATATGCAAACTTTTCTTGGAAACAATAAATCGGAAAATTACCGGGATATAGTTAAAGAAATGCTCGACAATTTTAACAAACACGGTTGTCATACGAGTATTAAAATATTACCTCCACAGCCACTTAGACCGCTTCCCAGAAAATCTTGGTGACCTTAGTGAGAAACAAGGGGAACGCTTCCACCAAGATATCAAAATGATGGAAGAGAGGTATCAGGGGAGATGGGACACTTACATGACGGCGGAATACGGCGGATTCCATTTGGTGCTGCCCAAGTCATTTTCTGTTTAAATTTTGTCTTAAAGAATGTATTTGCAATTGGCATGTTTTCGTAGTGGGCAAACTGAACCAGTCTTTCTCCCCCCTCATTTCTATCACCGACTCCATACTTTTCCACGACTTGTTCCTTGTTGTTTCTCTTTCCCACTTTGGCATTAAAGTCACCAATTAAATACTTGAAATGACTTTTATTGTTATTTAATGCTTCATTTATGTTACTGTAGAGTTCCTCTATTTCTTCGTCAGTGTGAGTAATCGTTGGGGGTATATTTGTATAATTTGTATATTGTATCTCTTTGATAGTTGTAAGGTTAAGCTAACTACTCTATCTGAGATAATAGTTATTTCTACTATTCTTCGATTCCATTTCTTGTTGATGTGCGTAGGTAGTAGAATAGCGAGCGACAATTATATGTCGCTATATATAACGTTGTTGTTTTATTTGGGTAGCGGTTTAGACTCCGCAGATTCTTAGCACCATCTGCCCTCCTGGTTTGATCCCGAAAGCTACCCTTTGGACCATTTGGGCTTACGGAGAATGAGTGACATGATTTGAATGTCTCGTCTTTATATTAGGGTTGTGAGGTGTACCTTACCACGCTGCCTCAGTGCGGGTTGGTAAGGGTTCGCTGGGGTGTTCCGATTATAAGGCGTCGAAACTCGCCTTTTACCCTCCTCCTTCTGCTATATAACATACTTCCACAATACGCCATATATTGCCGGGGATTACGCGAACTATGTCTTTGTGGACGTAGGAGGTAGGATTCCTAGCAAACTTATTTAAATAAATTGTTGGTTTGATTTTTCCTAATTCTAGTTGAATTGCTTCAATAAATTATGTTTTTCTTAGACTGCGAAAGCTTTTTTTAAGAGTTTTTTTTATAGCCGTAATTATATCTTTTCAGATAAGAACCAAAAACCAACAGCTGACGCTGGAAAAGATTTCGAGGTGGAGCTTCCCAAAAACATCATCATGTTGAACGGTTCAAATTCAAAGGATGATTGGGCCATCGTCAGATGGAAATGGGACAGGAACGCAAATTCTCTAGCTATTGGCAACATTGCCGAAAAAACGGATGAATCCCCAGTTCTAATTTTAACAGATCTCGCAGTGGGAAAATACATTTTTAATTTGACTGTGTACGACGAGCAAGGATTATCCGATACAGATACTGTGTCAGTGATTGTTAAAAATGACCCAAAAGTGTATTATTTTGTGGAATTAACGGTGGATTTAAATGCACAGACCTTAACGCAAGCGCAGTATGACTCGCTGATAGGTAAATTGGCTTTGCTTGTCAAAAATGGATCAAAGTTACAGGTAAGAGTTCTCTGATACATAATATTGTTATCTTACATTATTCTAAAGACAGAATCGTTCTGCAGTTTTTTTCCTGTATTATGATTTCAATATTTTCTCATGTCACATTTCTTATCACGTCATTTATATTTTCTACATCATTCCTGATTCTTCACCTCTACGTCTGCTAGTAAGTCATCAAATTGTGTACCTATGTCATCCTTTTACTCAAGACCTATTAAGTTTAATCTTCAAAGTACTATACGAGGTCTGTCAATTAAGTTCCAAGACTGATTGTTTTAATAACACTTCTGAGCGAGAAGAATGAAAGCGGCGAAGTTTTTCTAATTCCTTCATTCCATGAGCGTTGAGGTCTACCTCTTTTTCTTCTTCCAAGTGGATTCGATATGTAAAGTTTTTGGGGCCAACGTTCGTCAGGCATTCTCAATAGGTATCCAAATTATTTTAAACTTCTTCTTTCTATTGCGTCAATGATCGTTTCTGTAGCATTCAAGTTATTTCTTATAGGTTCGTTGGTCTTCCTTTTCAGCTATATCCTTTTATCTGGGATAAAAATTTCAAGCTGCAACAAACAGTTTTTTTCTAATCGACAAATAACAATGGTGAAAAAATTGCTTGAGCCGAAAAAATGTTGGATAAAAAAATAAAGAATCTATGAACTTTTTGTTAAAACTCTAAAAAAAGAACTATAGAGTTCCGAGAAATTTGTGGAAGAAAGCTATGAAACTGATGATTGCGGATCCCGTGTCAGAGTTTTTGAGGGGTACAAACGTTATAAGGAGGAGTGAGAGGATGTTAAATATGACGAGTGGTCTGTGACGTTCAAAAAGTGACCGAAATGGTTCAAAAAGACCGTTGATAAGTATTAGAGCCATTGCTGAACATATCAACATTAATAAAAAAACTGACAAATTTTGCATGAGGAAAATATGTGCTAAGTTTGTGTCCAGACTCCCAAACGGCAGAACGGAAGATGATCATAAAGACATTTGTTGTAACACTCTGAAATGCGTCGTAAAGGACGTAGTCCCAAGCGGCAATCCATGCAATATAAGACTTCAAACCATCTGAGTCAAACAAACAATGATGAGCAAGTCCAAATTAGGTCTTGCAAAGGTCAGACAGCTAATCAATATTACTATTTGGAGGTTTACGAAAAAGAGACCCAACATGTGGAAAAAGAACTCCCGGATCCTCCATCACGACAGTGCGCCTTTTCTAAAAGACTTTTTGGAGAAAAACTATGCCATACTCATGGTGCAGCCGCCGTATTCGCCAGATTTAGCACTCTACGACTTCTACCTATTCCCAAAAATCAAATTCTACTTGGGAACTCTCCACAAGTCATTACAGGAGGTAAAACAAAAATCTGCGCAGCTACTCAACGACCTGTTGGAAAATAACCTGCAGTACTGCTTCACACAGTGGAAGATTTGCATAGAGCAGTGTAGGGATGCAGCAGGAGAGTATATTGAAGGGCGAAAATGAAAAATTATAAAAAGTCTAAATAAAGATGTTATACCGACAGTCCCAGAACTTAATTGCCAGACCTTTTATAACGCGCATGTGCCATCATCTTGTCATCCTTTTTGAACATTTCTAGAGTATACAGACGCTATATTCTTCTTTTCATTACTTAGCAGCAGTTCAAAACTGATATTAGCAGATAAAAATCGATCATTTCATGTAACTAAAAAAATTCAGTGGCATTTCTTAATGTCACTTGTAGTTTTGGTTTCACATTTTCTTGAACAAAAAATTTAAAAAAACGCAGAAAAGACTTGGTTCACAAAAAGAAAAATGCTCCTGTTGCACCAGAACCATTTACTTTCCGACGAAGGCGGTTTTGCACCGGGAAAATATAATAATTGGATCTATAACTTGTTAAAATGTCCACCCTGCTTGCGGGATTTGACTTTCTCTGATTTTTTCTATTTTCAAATCATAAGTAAGTTGTGACCGTAAATTTTTTCTGTTACGATAAAAAAGTATTGGATATTTGGAATATTTTTCAAACTCCGGTTATTGGAGATTATTTTGTACGAAGTATATTGAATGCATCGAAAACTACATTGAGAATATATATGTTTTAGGTTAGAAGTGTCCGTCCTTCCAAGGTAACAGGAAATGCCCTCATTACCTTCTACGTAGATGACTCCACCGGCAAACCAACCCCCGCTAACGATGTGGTTCATTATCTCCGTCAAAAACTCCGCGTCGACGCCAGTCTTTTAGGTTTTTCAGTCGAAAAACTCCAAACAAGTATCTGTCAGAACAACTGCTCTGGACACGGCGTTTGCGACGAGTTGACGAGGAAATGCAAATGCGAAGCTTTTTGGATGCAAGACATGTTTAAAGTTTATCTCAAATTCGAAGGAGATTCTGACTGCAGTTGGAGCATATTATACGTGGTGTTAGGTGTGGTTTGTGGTATTTTGTTGTTTGTCGGTACCCTATGGGGGACGGTGCATCTATGTTATACCTTCTGTATAAAAAGGAACCGTAACGGCAAACCTACGACGTATAAACTTATCGAAGACACGGAAGATGTACCATCATGTAAGTATTAGGTTAGGTTATGTGACTGTTTTTTTCTAAATTTTTAAAATAATGAATGTATACGACGTCTAGGAAGTGTAATTTTGAATCGAAACAGTATCATATTTACCTCTCACTGACAACTATCTACCTTTGTCAGTTAACGGTTCAGTGGAATTGTTTAAAGCCAGTAGAAAATAACAATTATACAGCTAGGAAAGAACTTCGCGTTTAGAATTGTACGAACATTTCTATTACTAAAATTTTTATTACAACAAACGAAAACGATGTTCTATACGAGATGTACAAGCCAACCAGTACTCACTAGCTTTTGTCTATGAACTGTATCGTACGCCTTCTCAAGATTTCTAAATACCAAAAGTAGCCTTTTTTTCTTGCCCTATTTCTCTATCAACTGTCTCAAAACAAACGAGACATCCGTCGACGTCGTCCTCCTTCCTGGTATAAACCTAAACTGATGATAATTCTGAAATGTCTGTTTATATTTTTGATTTATTATCATTTTCCTCTGATTTAGATAGATGTTTACCTTTCTTTAAATAAATTATTCTCTCAACACTTTTATTACGTATAAAGAGAATTAATTGGTTAATAGTTTTGTCTAATTTTTTTTATTTTTTTTTTCTTCTAAATAATTATATTTAATTGTTTTATGAAACTTTCCAAGTGCATATTTGTATTTGCACAATCAATTCGGTGGCAATATGCCCATTGGTTAGTAATGAGTAAGTGATGTGTTTGGATGTATTTAAAAAAACTTTTGTATCGATATCTTCTAAAAGAGATTGAAAAAATTCATTGAATTTTAGATTAAAAATCTACGTTTAGTAAGTTTTGAAAATATTTCAGTGTTTTGTAGACCCAAGGCCTTTTCTCTTCATTTTTTTATTTTTATTAAATTTGACTGCCATGCTCTGTCTACGTGCCATGAGCACAACAGTCTTTTTTCTACGGATCCCATAACAAAGCACCAGGCATTAAAATAAGTCTCAGTTATATCTGACATGAAAGCCTTAGAAGTAATTTTACCTGTTTACTGCAAGCTTGCAGAGTGCAGAATAAGAATTTGCATAACATGCAGAATAAGAATTTGCATATCAGCAGGCCACACGAAAGAGCAGCTCGATTATGCCTTAAGCAGACGAAACCATAGAAGACCGTTCTATGGCTCAGATGCCATAGAACGAGTAGCAGACGAAATAGGTATCAGGTATTCTAGAAAACCGAGAGATCCAAATCAGATTGATTACAACACGATCAAAATATATTAGGATTTGTTTTAGGAAGAGACGACGAAGCTTAAGTTAATACCAGTCTGTGTTAGGAGGTTTTGTTGTTTTTATAAATTCTTTAAAAGCATTTAATATTTGATTTCTATTTATTAAGAATAATTTTTGGCTGTGTTTCATTTTAATACTTTGCAAAATAAAATATATATAGAGGTAACAGTATTTTTATTTTTTTACTATTTTATTATACTTTTTTATATTATTATATATGTTTTTAAGGTATTAAAACATTACACCCTAGGACGACAAATTCAGAATCTTCGGGTAATACTCCTGTGGCTTTTCTTCCGTATATTCGAAGTGTCACTGATAGGATTGGCAAAATTCTTCGCAAAGAAGGTATCAGGACTACTTTTCGACCACCCAAGAAAATCTCACAATATCTACCCTCTCCTAAGGACCCATTACCGCCCCTATCTTCCTGTGGTGTCTATTCTATTCCTTGTTCACGTGGACATGTGTATATTGGCGAAAGTGGTCGTTCCGTCAAAACTCGGATTCAAGAGCATCAAAGATGCATTCGATCAGGTCTTTTCCCCCATTCTGCAGTTGCAGAACACTGCCAAGAAACTAGTCATTCCATATTGTTCGAAAAAACCCATATTATTTCTAAGAGCCCCTTCTTTTATTCCAGGAAAATCCGCGAATCTCTAGAGATCCGAAAAAATCCACATAATATCAATCGAGAGGAAGGATACTACTTGTCTCCCATCTGGAATCTCAGTCTAGAGCCGCCGTCCGGTCCCGCTACCACGATGCAGCCACATGATTGGCCAGCGCGCGCTTCTTGACGTTCGCGCCACGGAGTGTGCCGATACGTCCCGACACGACAGGTCACCGCGACTATAAATAGAGCGGTAGCGGAGTAATCGTCGGATTCACTCCCCGCCTCTCGACGCGTTAGTGTTCTGAGCTGTTGGACGTGAATCCCTGTCCTGGCATTTGGTTTTCACCTCTGGCTGCGTTGAGTAGTTGAGTTACTGTGACCAAATGCCCATCTTGGTAGTTAGTATTCGCCTCTGGTTGCGTTGAGTAACTGAGTTACCGTTGCTAACTACCCATCTTCCTGTCCTTTGATTTCTTTTTCTTTGTTCTCCTGAAGAAGCTACATACAATTGTAGCGAAACGTCGAGATGAACCCACTTTTGGGTCACTCACAAATGACACGGTCCAAACCCGGAAGACGAATAAACTATAATATTAAAACATGTATATGTATATACAAAAATACATATTCATTACAGTATTATTCATTTTACTATTACACAACACACACGAAACAACAGTACTCAATACGCATGATACTATGACTTCGAAGATTAAACCACTTCGCAATCGAATTTTGTACGTCGATGCGCATGACGTCACTTGGTGATAATAGTTTCTTAATTTAATATTTTACATTTATTTCTCAACGTACTAGATAAACGATAGAACAATACTAAATCTGACAAAACTCCATGCAAAACAGATCATTTCTGGTGATATTTGTCGCCAAGTGACGTCACACGTGCAAAAGAGATAGACTGATCGCGTGCGCGTGAGTTTATCTTTAGAAGTTCATAGTATCATGCTCAATACGTAAACAAACTTCAGTTTTTATAAGTTGACCGATAAACTATTTAGAACATGGCTGATCTCACAGAAATTTGGATTGCGAAAAAGCCCTTCGTTTCGCTTCTTGTTGGATGATGTATTCTGTGCTTAAACTGTCAACTTCGTGTATTTATATAATATATTTTCTATCATTCCATACATGACATCTCGATCGTTCTAGATTTCTTTAATATGTTTTTTGTTATCAAGGGACTTCTCTATATGGAATAAATTTCATGGAACTTCTGTTACAATACTAATTAATAATTTTTTTTAGATACATCGAAAAAAGCCAACTTTTCGGACAGCGATACCGATTCTGACGTAGTCTTCGAGTCCCGATCGAAGCCTCCACGTTTTTCGGACACGAGAAACGGTCACAAACCGAGCAGAAACGGATTTCCGAAAGGGGGACGAAGGATAAAAACTTAGTATAAGTATTTATTAGACGGTATGCGCCAAGTTGATAACGATTTTCACTTTCCTATTTAGTAATGTGATTTTTATTTATTGTGATTCTATTTTAAACATACTTTTTACGTTGATCTATACTGAATTATTGTTATTTTAGATTTTTACGAAAAGATAAACTTTTAGTCTAAATGTTTACGTACGTAAGTAAATTGGACATTCTGGTTCATTAGTAAAGTTCTATCTCTCAGTAGCAAGTACAATATGTGATTAATAATATTTGTTTTAAAGTTGTGTTCCGGTTTCTATAGTGTATGCACGCCTCCCAATACCGATTAGTTAACGAGTGCCATTATGCAAGTCGTGACGAAGTCAATTCTCTCTCGAATTCGAATTCAATGTCTTTTCTATGCTAGTAATCTACTACAGTGGAACCTCGATTATTCGTCAGGGCACCGGACCAATCAACCACCGGTTTATTTGACGATATAAGAGGGATTTATGTTAGTACAGTCGAATTAATTTGATTTAAAATATTCTGAAATCTTTGTTTGTTCTATTGTTCAATATCCCGCGCAATAACACTTTGCGAGATAGGCCACACTTGGTCTGTACACGATTTAAAACAGTATTTTCTGTATTTCTCGCGTAACTAACGCGGAAAAGAGGTAATTGCGATAGAAAACAGCCAAGGTAGATGCTGTTCTTCTTGATAATCGAAAAGAGAGACAGATTGACTGTCTTTAGCGGTAGCTGAGAATCCAAAAAGCACGACTTGCCTTGGCGGTAGTCAGATCAAGAGAGGGAACTGGCCCTAGCGGTGCCAAGATCAAGAGAGAGTGGTCTCTCCTTAGCGACAGCCGATAATCAAGAGAGCGTCCTTCTTCTTTGCTACCCTTTGCTTTGTATTTGTAATGGAGGGGGGTTAAAGTGTAAGTAGGAAGGGTTATTAAGGGTTGGACTAAGATAATGATTGTAAAATTGTGATATAAGGATAGTTAAAAGTACAGCGAAAAATGACATGATTTTTCGCATGTGAAAAAATTGAACAGACGGATAATAGAGGTTCCACTGTAATAGCTAAACTATTCACATCGAAGTGAGTCATCGAACTGATGGTATTTTTCAGCTTCATAATTAAGCAACTACTAAAAAATAGTGGTACAAGAAAATATGTAGATAGAAGTTCCCAAATTGTGAACTGTTTGGAAACAGTTGGAACAAATTGTGAACAGTTTGGAAATGTTCATTTATGACATTAGTTGCTTACTTGGATTCACTACAAATTTGTGACCGATAGAGAACCAAAGTAGCTATATCTGCTTTTTATAAAGACTAACGAAAACTATGTATTGAATATATTATAACATATAATTGTGCAAAATATACTACCTTATTATCTACTACTACGTTATCTAAAGAAAAATCTTAAATCACCAGGAACTACAAATCGTTAAGAATTTCCAAATGGATACTAAATAAAAGCAGCAAAGTTTGAAAACAACGAAAGCAAACCCTGCATACTGATCCCTACGCTGTTGACTATGTCTTCTTAAAATTATATAACAGAAGGCACAAATGGAGAATAATAGGATGATAAATATGTTTTCTATTTTTATTAGAATCTCTAATTTCACGAATTTAGAAGAATCAGAGACCGACAGCGACACGATAAGTACGAATTTCTACAAAATTATTGAACTTTACTAATTTACTGTTATGTGCGTTTGTTTTATTTGGGTAAATCATTCCAGAAAAGGAAGATAGTTTGATAAGTGTAACTTAATCCGTCTGTAAAAAGGGTTTGTTAGACAAAGAGCTCTTTAAAAATAACTTTTAGTTTTTTAACGCTACTAGATCTGCCTAAGTGCATCAATTTAATTTCCAAAGCTATTGTTGCCAATAATAAACTTGTACTTGGCTCAAATGTACCAGTGTTGTAGATAATATCGAGAATGTTATGCTTAATTTTTATTTTAATAGTAGTTTCAATATTAATCGATCTTTTAAAATATGAATTTAAGTTGAAAAAGTTATTCAAATTGACTTCTATCTTCTTCACAGCAACTATTAAACCTTTAGCTCAATGGCTCGCGTAATTAGATTATGCTTTCTGTTACATGATTAATTTTTCAATATGACCTATCCAATTTCCAAGAATTGATGGGATATATGCGTTGGTACCCAGGGTTAATAAATTTGATATTTTTATGGTAAAGTATTTTGTAATGTCGCCTCCTGTGTCGTATACCGAATATCGTTGCGACATTAACTGCAGGTCCAGTCCCTAGCAATTGGTATACAGGGAGAAAACCGGTACAGACCGTGATTCGACTTACCCTAGTAATTTTGCCTTACAATCTATTATCTCATTAAGTATTCTCAAATGAAACAAAATATCAAATAATACTGCAAAAATGGTACAAATATTATGAACTCGAAATGACCTAAAAACCAATAATCCATATAATATATTAAATGCTGTATATACCCTCGAATTATCTCAGAACTATACTGGCACCAAACGGCAACAATTGAAATAGAGCACACAATATCCGAAGATATACAAACCCGACGAGGAGTGAGACAGGATTGCGTCTTATCACCGCTACTGTTTAATTTGTATTTGGAGTTTATATTCAGAGAAGCATTAGACGAGGTCCAAGGCGGAATTAAGATTAACCGAATCAGCATAGACAATATCAGATATGCTGATAATACCATCTTAATAGCAAGAAACGCATAAGAACTACAAAATATAATAAATGCGGTAGTTCACCACAGCGAAATGTTCGGTTTGCATCTAAACGTTTCCAAAACTAAAACTTTAGTATTTTCAAAGACACCGATAAACGTACATGTGTATGGCAATGGTCAAATAATAGAACAGGTAAATTCCATAAAATCTTTGGGAGTAAATATCAATAGTCAGTGTAATCCAAAAAAAAAAGAAATCCTATTAAGAATCGAACAAGCAAAGAAAACATTCATGAACATGAAAACATTTTTTATAAGATCAGACCTTAGTCTGTAGCTTAGAATCCGAATGATCAGATGTTACGTTTTTTCTGTCTTACTGTATGGCTGTGAAAGTTATACAATGGACTCTGAAATAGAATCAAGAATAGATGCCTTTGAGACGTATATATACAAACGAATGTTGAGAATTCCATGGGTACAAAGAGTTACTAATTTTGAGGTAAACAAAAAGAATTACTAAGAATAATCAAAGAGAAAAAAATGCAATACTTGGGTCATGTGCTGAGAGGCGAAAGATATGAATTACTTTAAGTTATACTGGAAGGAAAAGTACAAAGCAAAAGATCAGTAGGAAGATGCCAGAACTCGTGGCTGAAAGACCTGAGGAGATGGTTCGACCGCTCCATCTACAATTGTTTCCAGAACTACAATTGCCATTTGGATCGCCAACCTTCGAAAGGAGACGGCGCCATGAGAAGAAGAAGAAGATACCCTGGAATGGTTTAATGCTTGCATTGAAGGAGACAGGAGAAAAATAATAAATCAAAAAAATAAACGTTCAATACAATCATTATTTCTATATTTTAATTTTACAACTTTCATTTAAACTTTAAAAGCTACTTAGGCGACGATCTTTTAGTTAATATATTGATTATAATCGGTTATATATACTGGGATGCAACTGCAAAATAAACGCCATCTAATCATTCAATCAGTTTTTAAAGGCTGTTCGTATTATTTTTAGTGTTCATTTTCTAGATTAATAATTATTAGTGTGCAGTATGTTTTGTCTAATATTGTTATACATGTTTGGATGACGTTTGTTATGTCTGTTAGATACGGTGTTTGGATTTATGCCAAAGATATTTGGGAATATACTGTTTTGGAAAACCGTTCAAGAAACACTTGTAAATATCTAACATCAGTATTATTAGACATTAGATAATTTTTGTAATACTACGCTTGAAAAGATGAAATAAAATAAAGGGAGGAAGATAATGTGTTTAAAAAAATACTAGTCCATACCTTAGATAAATACAGTATTTTTACCAACTACTTTATAGAAGAAGAGGTGACAAATGGAGAAAAAATTGGTATAGAATAAACGGAACTCAGATATCTACAAGATCACAGCAAAGAATGACGGTTGAAATGTAAGATTCGGCAAAAACACTCACATGTGATATCTACTGAGAATTCTGAATTGTTCAAATGGACTGACCATATTACCTTCTTTAATAAAGCGCAGATTGCACCACTATACTGTTATGCTTATCTAGCTGTCTAAAAGGAGAGTGTTGTAAAACAGGAAATAGAACATTTTTACCCCAAAACAATGTTCCAAAATATAGTATATTCCCAAGACAAAAGTTGTAATTATATTTGAAATAGAGGTAATTACGTGTGCCAGGTCAATTGCGAATACAGTGTTTACCAAATTTCTAGTCTATTTAAACACGGTAAAAATAACAAATTCATCGGTAAAAATTGGGTTACTGTGATATTTGTTGAATTCACATAGTGCTAGTACCTTCCCACCCTATGATATTTCTTCGATTAGTTAATGCAGAGCTTTCCTATTAACATAAACTAATTGAGACATTACAGATACTCTACTTTTATTCTTTTAAAATTTAATCCAAGATGCTGAACCTGAAAAGACAACAGAATAAACGGTTATATGACTCTCGGACGGATCTAGAACAGATCTAGTTATTCATTACTAATTCTGGTGAATTGACAGTTCGGAATAATATAGTAAAGGCCCATTTTGGTGAACCAACAAATATTCACAAATTAAATAAAATCGGAGGCTTTTAAAGGCAAAGTCGAAATTAACTAGTCGTGTTCTGGGTTTGTACCGTGACTTATTTGGACGTCCCGTGTGTGGGTCCATCTCAACGTTTAGCTACATTTGTAGGTAGCTTTAGCAGAAGCAAGGAAGGAGCTTGGTCACGTTAACTCGAATACTCAACGTACCAGAAGCGAAAACCAGAAAACCTACAGCCAGGAGATAGATTCACATTTATGATATGATATACAATGAGTAGTAATACAACATTGAAATCGCTGGACTAGCTGAAACATGCTGGCTAAGAAAGGCCCATTTCAAAACACAAAATGACAATTATGTCTACTTCTCTGGCAGCGAGACCCAGAATTTCACTGGTGTCGCTATTTCCTTTACACCAAGATCACAAAAATTGGTTCTTGAATTCTAAGCTGTTAAAGCTGGAGTAATTCTCCTCAAACTAGAAGCCAAACCGCACAACTTCAACATCATTCAAGTTTATTCGCCAACAACTGCAGACGACACAAAAATAGAAAAATTATCCGAAAAACTTCAGGACACTATTCAAAATGTTACAAATAATGAGTTAAACTTGTGTGTGAGTTAATCACCACATTACAAATAATGTGGTGATTTTAATGCAAAAATCGGTAAAGCTGCCAAATATTGTGTAATAACACCAATGAATCTTGTAAAGACAAATAATTCTAGAAAGAAAACTTCTGTAACAGACGCCTTCGATTGACCAGATCGCAGAAAGTTGAAAAATACCTATTTATGATCTAATAGAAATAACCAGAGACACAAATCTATGGAGACGCACTATACA